CCCGACGAGCACCGATGATAGCGCAAGCCCGAATGGCGCTAAAAATAAAAAAATTCAAACGAGTGATAGCGCAGATAATGTAAATCCAGCGGATAGCACAAGCCCGACGAGTACTGATGATAGCACAAGTTCGACAAGTACTGATGACGCAAGCACGAAGGGCGCTAAAAACAAAAAAATTCAAACGAGTGATAGCGCAGATAATGCAAATCCAACGGATATCACAGGCCCGACGAGCACCGATGATAGCGCAAGCCCGAATGGCGCTAAAAATAAAAAAATTCAAACGAGTGATAGCGCAGATAGTGTAAATCCAACGGATAGTACAAGCCCGACGAGTACTGATGATAGCACAAGCTCGACGAGCACTGATGACGCAAACCCGAAGGGCGCTAAAAATAAAAAAATTCAAACGAGTGACAGCGCAGATGATACAAATCTAACTGACAGCACGATCCCGACGAGCACTGATGATAGCACAGGCTCGACGAGTACTGATGATGCAAACCCGAAGGGCGCTAAAAATAAAAAAGTTCAAACGAGTGATAGCGCAGATAATGTAAATCCAACGGATAGTACAAGCCCGACGAGTATTGATGATAGCACAAGCTCGACGAGCACTGATGACGCAAACCCGAAGGGAGCTAAAAATAAAAAAATTCAAACGAGTGACAGCGCAGATGATACAAGTCTAACTGACAGCACGATCCCGACGAGCACTGATGATAGCACAAGCTCGACGAGCACTGATGATAGCACAAGCTCGACGAGCACTGATGACGCAAACCCGAAGGGTGCTAAAAATAAAAAAATTCAAACGAGTGATAGCGCGGATAATGTAAATCCAACGGATAGTACAAGCCCGACAAGCACTGATGATAGCACAAGCTCGACGAGCACTGATGACGCAAACCCGAAGGGCGCTAAAAATAAAAAAATTCAAACGAGTGATAACGCAGATCTAACGGATAGCACAAGCCCGACGAACACTAATGATATTACAAGCTCGACGAGCACTGATGATAGCACAAGCCTGACGAGTACTGATGATAGCACAAGCCCGACGAATACTGATGACGCAAACCCGAAGGGTGCTAAAAATCAAAAAATCAAAACGAATGATAGCACAGATAATGAAAATCTAACTGACAGCACAGTCCCGACGAACACTGATGATAGTACAAGCTCGACGAGCACTGAAGATAGCACAAGCCTGACGAGTACTGATGATAGCACAAGCCCGACGAATACTGATGACGCAAACCCGAAGGGCGCTAAAAATAAAAAAATCAAAACGAATGATAGCGCAGATAATGAAAATCTAACGGACAGCACAGTCCCGACGAATACCGATGATAACACAAGCTCGACGAACACCGATGATAACACAAGCTCGACGGGTATTGATGATAGTACAAGCTCGACGAACACTGATGATGGCATAAGCTCGACAAGCACTGATAATAGCATAAGCCCAACGGGTACAGATGATAGCACGAGCTCGACGAGTACTGATAGCGCAAATCCGAAGGGCGCTAAAAATAAAAAAATTAAAACGAATGATAACGCAGATCTAACGGATGGCACAAGCCCGACGAGCACTGGTGATGATAGTACAAGCTCGACCAACACCGATGATATCACAAGCTCGACGAACATTGATGGTGGCATAAGCTCGACCAACACCGATGATAGCACAAGCTCGACGAACACTGATGATGGCATAAGCTCGACAAGCACTGATGATAGCGCAAGCTCGACGAGCACTGATGACGCAAACCCGAAGGGCGCTAAAAATAAAAAAATTAAAACGAAAGATGGCGCAGATAATGAAAATCTAACGGACAGCACAAGCCCGACGAGCACTGATGATAGCACAAGCTCGACGAGCACAGAGAGTAATTCAAGCGTGGAAGAAACTAGCTCGACGAGCACAGAGAGTAGTTCAAGCGTGGAAGAAACTAGCACTAGGAAAAACGAGAATAGTGAGAGTAGTTCAAGTGTGGAAGAAATTAGCACTAGCACTATTTCTAGTACAGAAAGTACCACGACCAAAAATCCAAAACAGAAGGAAGAAAACGAAGGAATATTCACTTCCACGAGTGATTCTTCTACTACCTCTAGCACTCCCATGGATAGTTCATCAACCTCCGATGCAGATAATTATTCCATCACTTCAACTAGTACTTTAGATGATGAAAAGAAGATGACCTCTGTTACTACCAGCAGTTCCTTAGACAATCATCCCGATATCAAGACTACTGCGGACAATTCACAAACTGCCACTTCGCTCGCGAGTGACCCCCCTGTAGGTAACACTCAGATCACCGCGACTTCCGCGGACAATTATCACGCTCCTGTTAACACTCGGACTAACGCGGACAATTATCAAACTACCACTCCTGTGGGCAACGTTCAGAACACTGCAACTTCTGCGGACAACAAACAAACTCCCGTGAGCAATAGTCAGTCTAGCGCGGACAATTATCAAACTACCACCCCTCCTGTGGGCAACGTTCAGACCACTGCAACTTCTGCGGACAACAAACAAACTCCTGTGAGCAATAGCCAGTCTAGCGCGGACAATTATCAAACTACCACCCCTCCTGTGGGCAACGTTCAGACCACGGCAACTTCTGCGGACAACAAACAAACTCCCGTGAGCAACAGTCAGTCTAGCGCGGACAATTATAAAACTAACACCACTCCCGTGAGCAATGTTCAGACCACTGCAACTTCTGCAGACAACAATCAAACTCCTGTGAGCAACAGTCAGTCTAGCGCGGACAATTATAAAACTAACACCAGTCCCGTGAGCAATGTTCAGTCCACTGCAACTTCTGCGGACAACAATCAAACTCCTGTGAGCAGCAGCCAGACTAGCGCGGACAATTATAAAACTAACACCACTCCCGTGGGCAGTGTTCAGACCACTGCAACTTCTGCGGACAACAATCAAACTCCTGTGAGCAGCACCACTCCTGTGGGCAGTGTTCAGAGCAATACTCAGACTAACGCGGAAAATTATCAAACCGCAACTTCTGCAGACAATTCCCCCAGCTTCCAAAGTACTAACGCACCCACGAACAATCTTCTTAGCTCTGCAGATGCTACTATTACTTCAGATGCAAACGCCCCATTATCCACGAATTCCGATTCTCACGATACAGCTTCACAAACAGAAATGCCAATAACCTCCGATGCTCCTTATATCCCTAGCACTAGTGGATTCACCCTCCCGACTGTGGCTTCGATCACGCAAACAACATTGGCATCAAATTTACCTGCTGTTATTGAAGTAGGTCCTTCCGAAGTTCCGCGTAAGTAATAAATTATAATTTCTAAATAAAAATCGCTTTTCGTGGCAGAATGTTCTTTTTTGACAATCGTACCTTTTCATTATCAAAAAAATAGCCGATTCAACAGAGATACAGTTGAAACTCATACCTAATTTACCATGGGTCAATGTGGTAGCTGATAGTTCGATCCCAGCAGCTATAGCTATTTTTTTGCCGAAGGAGTTATCACATGCAGTGAACGTATCAACCGACGAAATTAGAGTGACAAGCTTGGAAGTTGCACCAGACGGTGGAGTGCTAGTAAATTTGGTCGTACCTACAATATACCTGGCAGATTGTACAGTGGTGATATCTGATCCTAACAGCAATCTTTATTCTCCCGACACTGTCATCGGAAAATATGTAGACCCTAATTATTCTGTGGTAGACAATTTAAAATGTGCGTATTGGTTTATTATTTACAATTGTTTAATAATTATAAGGTGAAATTGGTTATACTCATTCTTCTTTCTCTATAGCCAACTCAGGTTCAACGACCGGCAAAGACGGTAATCAAATAACAAGTGGAGAAGACATGGAAGGAGATACTGGAAGCTCGGGTCCGGCAAACATAAAGAAACCAATTGTAGTGGCTGCGGTGATTGGAGCGACAGCTTTATATGCAGGATTAACGGCATTAGTCATCAAGGCATATAAAAAACGTAGGAGACGATCAGCGGAAGATGAAATATGAGATATGTTGGTCATCGGGAAATGGTTGTAGGACGGATGACATTCTGGTTACAATGTACAGACGTAGAATTAGTGGGTAGAGCCTCGTACAAACAATGAGACAGTTAGTAGAGATGATAAGATACAAGTTGCGCCGGGTTTTATTTTACTATGTACAAATGCATGCATACAGAAAAGACGACTACAGATCAATCGACACATTTTGTCGATTGGCATTGTTTTAAATTCATTAAATTTCATTTTTTATGTACATGCTCTAGAAAGAAAAACGCATTGCATACAATAGATTTTTTTTTATTTTGGTTCACATTTTTTTTTACATAATGTCTATCATGTATAGATTGAGTAATAATTCTCGGAGAACGAATTGTTTTTTATTAGCTGACACTACATGAAGCAATTGTTTTCTTTCACACAAAATTCATTTGGTTTTGCTTTTATGTGTTTGGTCATATCATTTACAACTAATACTTTTAATAATATAATTTTTTGCAATCATTGAATTTATACATTGACCTCCTCTCTACTTTTATGCACGAGTTTTTGAATAATTGAATGTGGTTTGAGATCGAAAGTTTTTGTTCCGTTTTCGTCTATGGAGACGCATCTTGGATTATGAAAAAAACCAGAATTGCTAGTGAAGGTTTATAAGAAAGAATGTCAAAGAAATTATTGATTTTCAGTTTGCGAAAAAGCTTTTTACTTCTTGATTTAGAACCACAGAAAATATTTTTTTTATATTTGATATTAAGAATTTTTTCCAATTCGTTCTTTTGGCATAATAATTTTTATTGGATAATATAGGCGTTCTTCTCCATACAGGAAAAAAAGATTATACAGTATATAGTCAATAGGTGGTTTCTTTTGTACTCGGTAATTAACGAGAAAAAATTCAAACCAAACTGCTGTATAGTATACAGTATATAATATATATTAAGAAAAGTTTTTCAAACAAAAAAGATATATATTAATATTTATATTTATATCCTAATTAAATTTCAAATTATGCATTACAGATAATGTCGCTGGAATTACTGTATTTTTAATATAAAATGAAACATTTGAAAATGTACAATTTTGAAAATAGGGATAGATTATCAGAAGAATTTTTATCACGAGCATTTAAAGAATTTAATAAAATATTATGTAAAAGAATTTTTGAGTTTAAATTATTGTTATATACTGTACCTAAACTGTAATATTATTTCTTTATAAAAGAATACAGTAATGCGTTACGATTAAATTATTTATGGTATGTAGATCAAAAGATTGTTACTTTTATTCATGACGAATTATGATTTAATAATTATGTTCAAATGGTATTGACGTCTGGGAAATACGTTTAGATTTCTTGAAAATCCTAAATGAGTTAATGGTTGTCGTTGTACTAAATGCGAGAATATACCTGAGATATACACATCTCAATGGAAATTTGGTGCAGTAACACCTCCAAAAGGAACTTGGTTTGATGTTTGGATTGCAATATATTGGGAATGAGCTGTATACCAAGGAGGTGATATGGACTGTACGAGATTATGTCAAGTAGAAACCGATATTTTTTTGTTTTACTTAATTTATTCTTAATTTTTAATTACCATTATATTAGTTTCATATTTATATCATAAAATTCATAGTTCATTAGTGTAGAAATTTATAATTATAAAAAAAATTTGTATTAAAAGTTTGGTTGTTTGTGCTTAGCACAGAATTTACCCTTGTCTGAGTCAACAACATTTAAAATCGCATGTGTAGTACATTCAGGTTTTAAGCATTTTCTGGCTCTTAAGTGAATCATCCTTTCTTTTATACGAGTGTGCACGAAGTTACTGTTGATCCAGAGAAACAGAAATGAGAAAACTTGTAATATATATTTTCTTGACGTTGTGTCTTTACATTGTTGTAGGAACAATAGGGATGGGAATGCGACATTGAAGCGCGTCGCGTAACAATAGTAACTATGATATCAGAATGATGTCATAGATGTAACTGGGTGGACGCGTCAATAAGGCATATAAATAGGGTAGCTTTCCATAGTTTGTAGGATGGTCAGTTTAAGCCAATTAGTGAGCTAGCGTCTATTTGTAATTAGAGTTTAGAGTTTTAGAATGTTCTTTTACCTTTTCACTTTCTTACTTCACACAATAATATTTACACTCCATAAATTATAAAATGAGAGTATCGTCACTACAATAAAAAAAAGGGAGAGACACAAAGTTACTTTTTACACCGTAAAGAGAGACGTTTGTGATATTGTGACGCGCCTAGAGAGAGATGGTCGAGAAGAGATTGGAAAGTGCGCGAAAAGTCGGGCAAATAGTAACCCACCTCAGAGATAAATCCTTACCTTATTTAGTGCCGAAATTATCTATAATAATCAGCGACTCACTGCTGATACTTGTAACTTATCCCTCTCTAGAAGATAAGCCACAGGGTATAAGCCGGCACGTCTAGACTATACTAGTGGTATTAAATAAAGTGATGTATTTTTAGGTTTTATTTGGGGATATACAGTATTAAGGGAAGAGGAAAGTGGAACACTGGGGATAATATCCTTTATTGGTGAATAAAACCTTACTTAAGGTAGATATTATCACTCCATACCACCTGCAGCTGGCTTAACCATTTAATTTCTACTTTCCTATATGACTTAAGAATGTTCAAGGTACTTACAACTATAGATTTACAACCTACAGTAATCTTATAACTACTTGAAAGTACTAAATGCCTTCTTGGAATAAGTGGTACAGGGTTGGGTTTCTTATTAGATTGGAATAAAACTTTCAAATCACCTTCTGCAGAAAAGATATCAGGTATTATAAAAAGTAATTATTAAACCATCTTGTACTAAATCAGATATCTCATATTTCTTACAACTTCTGGTAATAATTATATACCAACTGGACAGTCATCACATTATAATATCTTTTCTGGAAATTATAATTTCAATGTCTGCTAAATTAGTATATAAAATGGCTTTTTATAAAAAACAATACTTTTAACAGGTTATAATATCAGATATTATATTAATTCTATTTAATTGCTCTTATATGAAGTTGAACTGATATCTTGTAATTTGACTTGTAGAATGTTAACTATTGTACTACTAACCTACAAGTCATATTATATATATAATAATATATAATAAATCCTACAGATGCTTAAAGAGAAAGACATTATGGTAGAATAAAACCAAGACCATAGTTTGATACAAACGCATGACAGCATAGGACTGCACATAATTAAAGACATTATGGGACAAACATGGAGCAAGAAAAATATCAAAAACATTAGGAAGCACAACCTAATGTTTATCGAACAAATCATCAATGTCCAACAAACACGCATACTTAACTAGAGACAAATCAGAGCAGCTACAGGATGTAAACTGACTGGCAAGCAGCCAAAATGGTTCACCGAGATCAGAAAAAAATGCAGTCAACCAGACATTTTGTAACAAATCTATAGAACGTCCGACCGAAATCCCGATTTTCTCCCAAAAGTCAGAAGACAACCTCTCAAACGCT